TTCGTTTCGAGTAAATTCTGGATGCTACCCACTGAGGACACTTGGAATACATTGGACGAGCAGTGTGGAGGAAGATTGACACATTTTTTGTGGACTTTTATGGACCTTTCTGCCTCGGGCGCCATAGACCTCCATTATTTGAATGTCAGCAGACAGCAAGAAGCCTCCCAGATCTCCAGATGCATTTGAGATATCAAAAAAGTACTCAAGAGTGTTGTTCAGCATGGGGGTGAGTAGAAAATGAAGGCTAATCATGTTTTGGGTGTAATATTCCTTTAACATACTGTGATGACTGTACAACTGGTCATCATTATATTTGACAACAAAGGCAAAGAAAGGCATCCCCATACTTTAGCCCTCCATCATTCCTACATTAACATTTTATTAGACCAAATGCAGACACATGTCTTCTCTATTAATCCAGAACTCAATCCCAATCCCTTATCAATGCTGCTGTTTTGGTGAAAATATTCCTTGCTGACAAAAAAAAAGAAAAGGTATGAAGGTATAGTAGAGGTTTTCTGCAAATTTTAAACTTAGAAAAAAAAAATGCACATGCACAACCCTGTACCCGCTCCTCAAAAGGAACGCCTATTTAACGCACGTGAGAGCGTGCATGAGGGGAAATGGGCTCGTGCACGCTCTGTTTAAAGTTGCTGTTTGCATAACTCATACAAGCTTACTTAATATTTGCAATTTTTCCACTATGTCAGACTCACCACCGTAAAGTGAAAATGGAGGAAGCACATAGGACGGCCTTATTTAAACATTCACCAGAATGATTGACAATTAGGAGGACCACTTATTTTGATGATCCACCCAGAAAAAGAACATCCTCCACTAATACCTTTAATAAATTCTGCTAATTCTAACATCATGGTCTTGTTCTTACCAGTCTGCTAGACTTGATTCAGACATCCTACTCCTTTTTAATTACTCCTTTTTAAACCGCCTGGCAAACATGACATTTATCCTTGAGATACTAATACTGCCGTCTGATCCGTCCGAGTCTTACCTGTCTCAGCCATCTTCAGTCCAGCATCCCAGTGGTCCATCAGCTGCTGAGTCATGTCCAACCTACAACGCAGGAAAGATACTTAGCTGCCGGTTCAGGGAAATTCAAGCTGTTTCTGTAGAATCCAAACAGGTCAGGAGGAAAACTTACACTTTGGTCATATCAGTTCCTGCTTCCTTCTCCAAGGTTTCATCAGTGGCTTCCAGGTTACCTGGAATCACTTTGTGCTGTTGAAGAACATCGAACACATTAAAAGGCCTTTTCTAAATCTGTTTCTGAGCGATTAATTGGGATATTTTCACTTGCAGATGGATTCAGGTTGTTTCCCTTAGTACGAGGTGGATTAACAGTTTAAAATAAAACCAATTTTATCTGTAAAAATAAAACCAAACCCTGCAGACTTACTTTCCAGGATATGTTTAGAGAAACAGAGAAAAATGCTGCCATTTCCTCCCAACCCAGACCTCTGAATGTCTCACTTTGTTCCTCAGCTGGACTTGAGAACCAAATTTAAAGCGTTATTGATAAACAGTTTTATTGTATAGGCTTGTTTAGTCTTCAGGGCTGGTCCATGAAGGTGAACAAACACAACAAGGTACCCGGACAGAGAAAAAACAGCAAACAGGTGGATCACAGCAGACTGTGACTCTGATTGGACTCTCCTTTTGGTTTGTTTGTCTCACTCTATCACTTGTTTTCAAGTTTAGAGTGAGCTCACAGCATTGAGCATTGAGCTCACAGCTCCATCGTGGTGAAGCATTTGCAAAGTCTCATCATGTAGACCTTTCAAGGTTTGCCGAAGTAAATAAAAGAAACCAAGGTTTAATTTTTAAAACTTTACAACCCGTGAATGATTAGGAATTGCTTAAATCATTCGACGGCTTATTAAACCTGCAGAACAAGACCATTAACTCAATAGAGACTTGTTTACAGAAAAGGTGGCCACCAGGGAGCGCTAGGTGGACCACAAAAATTACAAGAAAAAAAAAAGAAAT